GAGTGATCATCAGGTGGATGTGGTTGATATTCCGATGCTTCACGACGTAAATGATCAAATCTTAATTTTTTATTTTAAAATTAACATATAAAAAAATAGATTGATTAACTGAATAAATACATACTTAAAACTTTGTCGTGTACGAGGATCATAAAATCGACCATCACCTAAATCATTCGCATCGGTTATAAGACACTCTTCTTCTGCACCTTGAACTTTTGTTGCAATATATTGATCTCGATTATATTCAGCAAAAGCTCTAAAATACAAAATTATTTATGTGGAAATCATTACTATGGTCAAGGATATTTTTTTAAGAAAAACTCAAAAAAATAAAACTAGTCAACGATGTGAAGTTTTTATTGATTGGGAAAAATACTGAATAAATGGCATATTTTGTACCTGTCGGAACAGGTTTCATTCATGCAATAATGATGTTTATGTATCAAGTGAATTTAAATAAAATAAAAACTTCACAGATATATTATTTTACTTGTACAATAACTTTAGTAAAAGAGAAATTTGAAATTCTATCCATGCGATAAATACGTGTTGCTTAAATATTTATATAGATTAAGTTCACGGGACAAACAGTTCGCGTTCAAGTTCAAGTATTTCCGTGCATGGTTGGCGTTTTTTTTTTAGTATGCTTGGAGACCTTTGGGTTTTGGATCATTTAGTCCATGGTGTGTAGATCTACTATAGTTATTCGGGTTTGATGCATGCACAATCAGAAGGAAGAAAAAAAACATGACTTTTGGTGGCTTGCGCAACCTTTTCAGTGAGATGAAGCACAAAAAAATGAAATTGCGTCTTTTTTTTTAATATTGACTTTGGAAGTTGTATTACATTTTCGTAATATCTTAAAAATGATTCTGTATAATTTATAGCCTATAGTAATCAATAATAACATAATTATAATAAACAAAGCAATTTCTTATGAAAACTTTTAAATAATGTTTTATTTCGCTTCAATCTATCTTGTTCATTATTCTTCATTCCCTGTAAATTACATATGAAATCATATTCTTTGTTCTAATTTTAATTAAACAAACTTTAAAATTCTGTTTGTTTTCTCATTATAAACAGAAAGAATTCAAATTTCATGTATATTAAAATGATTTCTCTATTCGAATTTGTTAAATATCTTACTTAGACACTGAACGTCGGACTAATGCATCATCATTCAATAATGTTCGAACATCTATAATGACAAAAAAACATTTGTTTTTTTTTTCTTAAAATTAATTCATCTAATAATTTTCTAACCATTAAAAACTTCATTAAATTCACCCGGTGGTGCATGAGCAATAAAACGTCGTGCAACAGTTGCTTTTTCTTCATCTGTTAATTGTTCACCCATAATTTTGCTTGTTTATTTTTCAAATAACGACAAAAAAAAACAACAACTTTATCTGGAAAAAACAAAATAACAAAACATTAATTATCTTTTTCTTTAATTGAATACGATTTTTGAACAATATCTTCATAAGATTTTCTTAATTCAATTAAAATAACGCTTAATGCAATACTGACATTTAAACTTTCAACATCATTTAATAATGGTATATAAACCATTTTACCATTATTTTCAATTGTTAATTTTCTTGCTTGAAGACTTATACCTTCGGTTTCACCACCAACAATTATTGTTGAATGATCAGTTGATTGTATATTTTCAAATGCTTTCCATAATGATTGATAATCAATAGGAATATTTTTATATAATGGTAAAAAACGATTATTTGATAGTACATAGGAACGATCTTCTGTTGTATTTGTACGTTTCATTTGTTTTCGTTTTTCAAGCATTTCTTCAAACATTTGTTTTGATGCTAAATATGTTAACAATATAATTATTCTCGTTTTCAAAAAACGATGAGTCTAACTGGTTTTTTTTTGAATGACTTCTGATAGAAACAATATAGAGGCCTGCAGTTTTCACGATTCAAGAGAGAGAAGACTCTGGTCAGCTCTCTACAGAGATTCTGAAGCAATTTCCCTTTAAATTTTGACCAACCGATAGCGAACATTTTTTCCTTTCGATCTACGCAAGCCGTAATTTTTTATTATGTTTCGTTCCAGAGTTACAAGACAAGAAGAATTCATCATGCTAAGCTGAATGATTCAAAACAGAGAATTTCATGTTTCTATGTTATTCATATCAAAAGTTATTCAAAAAACAATCAGATTCATGACTTTTTAAAAATGACATTAGTTAATCATTTTAATATCTTACGATTATCATTATCATTAGTTATATCTTTTTCTTCATATGAATATTTATGATCAGCAAGAAAAATTTTACTATGTTCTGGTATATGATTAATAATTGTTTCCCATCCAACATCATTTATCATAGGTAGACGAAAATGTGCACCCATAGCAGAACGAATTACTTTGGGATCCCAAATATCTACACAACCTTTTATTGCAATTAAATGATCACAACCAACAGCAGCACATGTTCGAATTATTGTTCCCATATTGCCTGGATCACGTACATTATCACAAATAACAGTTATTGGAAGAGTTATACGTTCTTTAAATGAACAATGATCCGGTTGTGGCATTGCAAATATTGCTAAAAAAGTTTAATTTTATTAGTTAATTTCTTGTTTTTCTTTTTTGTTTTGAGAATAATTTTTGCATACCCATAACACCTTGACTTGTTTGTACATCTGACCAAGTACGAAATGCACTTGATGAAATTTGATAAGCAGTAAAATTGAGATCTGTTGGTGAAAAATCAATTGACTAAAAATGAAACAATGAAAACATTTTATATTAATTTAATACTTCATTTTGCTAGAATTAAATGATCAAGTTATATAGAAATGATGTGCTTAGTCTGAGCATTCGATTAGGTGAAGAACTACGATATTTTATTTAGATGGTTACAGCGATATTGCTTAGTTTGTATCATCTATTATATCGTAATATCATCTTCATCGAAGTTTATGAAAACATCTTATTCCTACTTAAAAATCATTAATCTATCTGTGACAGATTGAAATAAATTGTCTTAAAGTTTAAATGATTGAAATTTTTAAAATTTAATAATTACATCTAAAATTTGTCGATCAGTAACAAATATTGTTAAAAGATCAGCACCGCCTTGTATTGCATCAGCTATTAGACGTTTTCCTTCAAGTAAAATATAACCTTTTTTATAACGTTCTTGACGATTTTTTGCTTTCATTATACGATTACTTAGATAAAAGAAAAATAACAAAAAAAATTTTAATTCAAATAAATATATTTATTCTTTTTTTTTTGTGTACCTAAATCGAATATCATTATCTTTTAAATGAATTATATTTTGTAAAGGATTTTTAACTGTTGCTAATTGATCAAGAAAAGCTGGATCTTTTGACATATCTTCACGAAGTGGATCAAAACGATTGTATATAGCTTCCAAATTTTCATCCGAAAGTATCTTGGCTAAATATATAATATATATATATGTATTCCATATAAATTCATAAGAAGAATTTAATTAAAATCCATCCTGCCTGCTTTGTCACCCAATTTTTTGATTTGTGCTATTGGATTAACAGTATTTTTTCGTTGTTTTGTATTTGCATCTTTTTGTATAGGTTTTCGTGAACGAATTTCTGTTGCATGACGAATTATTATTGATGAACAATGATTTGGACTTATAAGTCTTGTTGGTTTTGATGATATTAAATGAGATAATAAAATACGATTATACCGAAAGAGAGACATTACATATATATAGATATCTAAAATGATCAAAATGAAAAGTAAATAAATAACAAAAAAAAATATGATTCATCCGACAACATGAAGAATATTCAGGTAAAACTAATGGACGAATAGAAACAAAACGAGATGATATATGGTCATAACTGCTCCCTCCCTCTGTCGAAAACTAAAAGTAAATAGAAAAAAAAAGAAGATATAGTTGTTTTTTTATCATATAAATATCTACGAATGATAATAAAAAAAGAAGAATTTTACCAAGAATTATTTTCGATGTTTATTGTCTTTCGAATTGATGTTATAAAAAACTTTTGGAAAATGTTTTCTTCGTAATTTATTCTATTCAGAATAGAGAATTTGAATTTACAAAATGCAACGATATGATCAGAGATGTCTCGAAGTCACCAGGATTGTGGGGGCACGATGACTCAGGAGGCTGACTAGAAGACTTTTGCTCAAATTGACTGGATTTTGAGAGAGTTTCAGCATCTTTTTTTGGAATTAGTGAGCAAAAAAAAATAAGAAAACGTTGGAACTCTACTAAAGAAAAACGAAAATTTTTCAAAATTGGACGGCACCCTCCGCTTGAAGCACCTCTTGATATGATTGAAGGAGAAAAAGAAATTATTTTAAAAGAATTTTTAATTATTCTTTCGGAGCACATGTTTCATCGATGTCATGTCTGAGTATTTTATTATGTCTTTCTCATTGAAATGTTTCAGCAATTTTATACGATTTTTTAGGTATGTCATCAAAGAATTTTGATCATAACGATCTACAGCTAGAATTAAAGAGGGCTGTGTGTAAGTTCAATAACTGACTAACAGCAACAGCTAGTGATCCGTGGTTTTCATCAATCGAAAGAGGAGAACCTTCGGACGTCTTTTTCTTTGATACTATATAAAACAAAATTACATTAAAATCCATCATCTTCGCAAACAGTGAAAACATTGTTTCGTTTCAAAGAAACTTTGATAAAAAGTCAGAAAATTTGCTGAAAACCAACAGAATAGTCTTGAACTATAGACCTGAAGTTCCTCTATCTGAAGCACATGTCAACATCGAATGAGAACACCGTCTTCATGCATTTTTTTCTAATGCTTTACGAAGATGATGAATTTTAAAATGATTTTTTTTTATATAGTTATTAGACAAAAAGACACCCGAAGTTTTCTTCTTTCGATTAATGAAAATCGCAGATCTCTAGCTATTGTCATTGTCGAATTATAGAACTTATAGACGGTCCTCTTTAATGCTAGCACGGACATTATATAGAAAAATTTTCCATATTTTCATTTTTTTTCGATAAGCCAAAGTTCGATTAGTTACGTCGAAAAGATTCTATTGAGTTATTATTCACTATTCTCTAGACTTCAATCATGTGTTTTTTCATATGAATTATATTATTTATCAAGCGTATAACGTATAAATATGTAATTTAACCGATTATTTTCATTCATTTACATTGTCTAGAACACTTAGTATTTTTTTTTCTCGCCAGCTGCGAACTGACAAAGATGTCAAATATAATCATATGTTTTGATTAATATGGTTCTGAGCATTGAAATGAAGTCAAAGAAAAAAAAAGCGAACTTTTTGAAATATTCGAACTATGCGCATGCTGCTTATCGAATAGATGGATTAATAGTATATTAGAAAAAAACCATTTAATCCGCAATAGAGATCGGAATGAATCACTTCGCTTATTCTAGCTGACAATAATTATGAAACTTTATAAAATATTATTATCATTTTAATCATGAATTATTCTTGGTCGAATGCTCGTGCAACAATAATGTATTGAACATATAAGTGCATTATAATTACAAACTACGTAGTGCCAGATAGTTATTTGAAAGGTTCCTTCTAATTATTTTTTAGTATTTAACAATGTTATATGATAAATCAGTGGATGAGAAAGAAAAAATTTACGATACAGATTTTAGTGAAAGTCAATGACATATTCTGATGGTGATAGTTATCCAAGTATTTGTATTAATATATCAATAGACAATACATAATAGATGTTAGCAGAAAAATCTAGCAATGAAAAAAAAGTGCAGAAAAATATTAAATTAGAAAAGGTGGTACATTCTTGTTCATGTGGTGTTATAGAACAAGGAGCATTTCATGATTTAAATGAGAACAATCAACCCGTGACATCACTTCATTCAATTTAAACAAACAGATTTATTAGCAATTGAAAATGAAAAACTAGTGAATACGTTGCTCAAACAAAAGATATTAAAAACATATAAACTCAAACGTCTTCAAAATCATGTTAATGCTGAAAAAAAGTTTGAGAGATAAACGTAAAGAAAAGTTACGAACAATGACAGACAAGATCTTATCCTGATGTTGGTCATCTTTTAAAGAAAGTATTTCGAGCAATTGATTGTTTTTTCTATATTGAAACATTTGGTTTTTGATATGAATTAAAATAAACTATTGCAATGCATACAAATAATGAAAATAATCAATTTGAAAAAAAGACTGACTTGAAAGAAAATTTGTCATTTTAGGGGTCGGAAATGAAGGACCCGTCTCAAATCATGTGATCAGGAGAACGAGATGTCAAAATATTACATTTGACCATAACATGGTGGAGAGAGTCTAAAATGGCCAAAACAGTGATGAGGGTGGGTTGTAGCCTTCTTCACCGAAAAGCATTTAGTCGACAGACTCGTAGGATGCTTTAGACTGTTGCGGGCCCTTTAATTCTTATATAGGCTTGTTCAGCATGAAGAAGTCAACTCGTTTTGCCCTCACCCACACCTTTGTGGTCCCCCTCCATGGCCAAAAAGTACTTTCGACGAAGTATGTTTCGGCGAAGAGCATATATACCATGAGGGTGTGGGTGTAGCTAAATAAAAGATCCACATCCACAATTGTGTATTTATAGTCTTTTTCTGTCTTATAGTTCATCTTAGTGGTTGACAATTAAGGTTGTAGTATCTATTAAAAAAAAGTGTTCCTGTGACTATTTTGTCTAGTGATACACGGAAAATTGATTAAAAGATTAAATTTGGTGAGAAATACCGTTATCAGTAGAGAGATCAGAGCAATGACACAGAATATAGAAAATCCTAAGGACCACTAAGACCCTCATATTTGAAATCAGTGCAGTGAACTGCATACATTCATGTATATTTCTACAAAAAAACGATTGATCACTTAGGAAAGTTTCTTCGTTAGGCAGGCAAAGAAAAATATAAATTCCTTATGGAGAGATTGAAATCAAAAAATCACTCCTTTATGACTTTTTTCGCCTGAACTCTTTTGACAATGTGTTTTAAATTTTCATGACTTTTGATCTCTTTAGACTTATATAGTGCATCGAATACCTTGGCTCTGAATAATTGTAATTATTATCGTATCGTTATCATGAGAAAATATATCAAATTCGTAAAAAGTGATTTAAATGATTCAGTCGTTTATAAACATGTTAAAATCTATTTTTCATTTTTCTTCTCAGTGGCTATCAGTTCTATATTTTCATCCTTGTATTATTTCAGTTAACTATCTTCTTCGTTTCCGTGATTCGTTCAACTAGTCATGTTCTCGTTACATGATAGTGCTATATTTCTCTTTTCTTTATATCAATCATCGATTCTTCCTTCGTAGATTTTTTATTTCTATCCAGTGCATATAATTTGACATATTTGTTTTTGGACTTGTTGGATTTTTCCTTCATATAGTCTATTAAGAGCTGATATAATTGATAGATCAGTACTCTCATGTGAGCAATCGAATATAGATCAGTCTTTAAATTTTAGTGCTTTCATTGAAATTCTTGACTCCGATTAGGCAAACTAGTTATGGTGGGAAGCACTGGACAGTAATTGTTCGCGATTTTTTTCTCACTTTCTCGATCCTCCACTCAAATCGCTATTCTGTGCCGCGACGTTCTAAAGATCGGAGAGTTGTACGATTTTCGTTCAAACGTTGTTCTGATCTTGTTACAAGGTTAATGTCGATTTTTTCAGACAAGAATTTCCACTAATAGAATAAAGAACGTTTATTTATCCAAAAATGTCTTATTTCAACATACACTATTTATAAATCTCCATCGCGGATCATCAATGTTTTAATTTCTTCTATCATTTCACCTTTTTTTTAATAAGACCATATAACACATTACATCCGGATTTGTCATGTTGTGTAGCATAGTATTAGGTACTTGTTGTATCATTTGTTCCATTATAAAAGTTCTTTTCATTAAATCAAATGCCAATTGATTTTTTTACAAGAAAAAAAAACAATTTGGATATGAAACTAGATATGAAACACTGCAAAAAACGGTAGAAATGAGAAATATACTTGTATCGTGATAGCCATGTTTAATCATAGTACATATACAAGAAGTAACAGATTAATGATTGCTAAAGGAAAATATTGATGCTTTGTTTCTGAGGGTGTGTGGAAGATGGTCTTCCACCTACACCCTTAGTTCCAGTTCCTCTTGATGATGTTTTTACTGATGATTTATTATCGTCATCATCGTCATCGTCATTTATAAAATTATTTTCATCATCATCATCACCATCAACAACACCAACATTTTTAATAGTACATATTCTTCTGTCGATTGGGTGGGGTGTGGCTGTGGGTATGGGTGTCGAAGATGGTTTCCCACCCGCACCCTCCCACACCCATACCTCACACCAATACCCACACATGCAACCTTATACTCACAACCCCACCCACATTCACACACACGCTCACATCCTTATTTTATTTTTACTTTATTGTATATTTATTTTTTTATTATATTTTCATTTTATTTAATTTAGTTTATTCTTATTTTATTGCATTTTATTCTATTTTATTTTTATTGTACTTTATTTTTAATCGACTCTTCTTTACTTGAATTACAGCACCCCCACCCGCACGCTGTACGGTGTATGTAAATTACAACAATCAGTGTATAGGTCTGATGAATAAAGAAGTGCCTATTTTTATTTTAGTTCTTTATTTCATTTTAGTTTATTTGAGATTAGATTACGGCATGGATTTAAGAGCAGTAAGTAGAAATTATTTGTTTATTTTTATTGTATTTATTTTATGTTATTTAATTTTATTTATTTAATTTTTATTTTTATTTCTTTATTTTATTGTAATTTTTCAATTTGATTTAATTAATTTAATGTTAATTTATTTTATTTTTATATTGATTTTTTTTTATTGTATTGTAATTTTTTTTAATCTAATTTAATATACCTCATTTTAATTTAATTAATTTTTTTTCTATGCTATCGTAATGTTTTTATTTTATTGATTTAATTTTTTTTCTATTTTATTGTACTTTTTCTATTTTGCATTAAATAAAAAGTTAAAATAAACTAAATTTAAACTATTAATATGCAGCTCAATGTATTTGAAGAAGCGAGTGGTGAGAGGGGTCAAAAACGGTCTAATATTTATAGATGAATCCAATAGGATTCTATCGGATTCCGAGTGTATCCAACATTTTCCGACTATCGGATCCGACATCCGACAACTTCCGACAGGATCCTGTCGGAAGTTGTCGGATTGTCTCGGGAATCCGATTGAATCCCACTGTCGGATTCTTCGTCCTGAGTTGCTTTTTTGATATATAAAATGTGTTTTTTTCGGTAGCACTTCAATGCTATTCTCATGATGCATGGTCAATTAATTGTCCACAGTTGAGTAATACAACAAGATTTCGTACTAGTGATGATAATAGATATTACAAGGCTACATTGCCTGATGATGTCAGCCGTGATTGTGCTAAAGAACGATGTAATGTTCAAGTAAGTTTTTTTGTTTGTTTTATCGATATCAAACAAATATAATCATTATTTTGTTGAATAGGTCCATGCTAATTCAGTTGTGACTGATGTCTGGAGTAAAAAAAGATTCGTGCAATTCTACAACAATATCAAAACTAACAATCAGTACACTCTTTATAATCATTGGTGCCTTGATTTGGGCTCGAATATAAAAAAGAAACGAAACAATAGATAGTTAAATTTGAGCTATATTAGATAACCTTATTCTTTTTGTTCTAGCATAATTCATTCAATCTTTTTTCTTTTTCTTTCTTTTAATTTAAAAAATTTTGTTTTGTTTTTATGTCTTTTATAGAATAATAATTGTTCGAGAATAATTTATGCTCTCAAATAATGCAGAATACGGTTTGATATCAGTTGATTTATGCTGCTTGCTTTGATTTGTTATGTTGTAAGCAACATTTCCCATATTGTAAATACCGGACAATTTTTAGCAGTAAACCGCAGTATTTATCAAAACCGGCGGTTTACAGCGGTAAATTACAGTAATAGGAGCCGGTAACCGCACCGATAAAACCGCGGTTAACCACCGGTTTTCATCCGGTTTTTATCACTTGAGTTGTGTCACATAGCAAAATATTTTTTTACCAATTATCATTTAAATAAAAAAAAATCTAAAATTTAGTTTTCAAATAATTCAAGAATGATCGCATTCTTTTTTGGATTGTTATTGATCTGTGTCATCGAGACAGAAATTAAACTAATGATGAAGTCTCTCTAACTGACATACTCTCTGTTTAACGTCATATTTTGCTCATATATAGGACTCATAGGTTTACATGAAAACTCTAAAAATGTTCGTATCCTTAAGTTTTTCTCCTCGAATTATGATCATTTTATTGAATTTTCATATGAAATTTTCCTCAATAACAAATCTCATCGTACTTATTGTAATCTGAAAGCTTCAGTTCACACCAATGAGATCTTCTTAAGATATGGGATACTTAAAAAATGGACTATTTCGGAAGCTTTCACGAGAATGTAGTGATTTTTTTCAAACGTATTATCTCGAAGGAAAACTATCTATTTGAGCTGAAACTTCCAAGATATAAAAAGTACCATGAAAACTGTTATATGGGATGATTTTCACAAGAAAATTCCTTGTCATGACTTTTTTCTTACTAAGATACAAAAGTACGCATTCCTCTGTATTGCATAGCAGCTACCTATTCATTATTTTTTTTTCGTCACGCCTTTACCATACTCATTAGGCACGAGCGAAAATTATCATTAGAGATTCTCTCGTCTTGTCTTCTTCTACCGAGGGACGATGAATAACTGTACCACATAAACATTACTTGTGTGATATTGGCTCTTGTCCTTGGTCCGATTTCGTCATTAAGAGAAAATAATCATTATTTGAAGGCCGATAATTAATTTATTTAAGATATAAAAGGAATGGTTCCCTGTACTGCGTAGCAATTACCTATTCATTAATTTTTTTCCGTCACGCCTTCACCATAATCATTAGGCAGGAACGACAAACATCATTAGAGAGCCTCTCGTCTTGTCCCCTTCTGCCGAGGGACGATGAATAACTGTACGACGTAAACGTTATTCGTGTGATATTGGCACTTGTCCTTGGTCCAATTTCGTCGTTAAGAGAAAATTATCATTATTTGAAGGCCTATAATTAATATATTTAAGATATAAAAGGAATGGTCCACTGTATTGCGTAGCAGCTGCCTATTCATCATTTTTTTTCTTGGCGCCTTTACCATACTCGTCAGGTAGGAACGAAACACGTCTTTAGGTAGTGTATACATGAGTTGCCTAATTCGAGTTCTAACATTAATGGAGAGCTAACTAACTATTATGACTTCGAAAATAAATGAAAAAAACGGCTTCCATGTTTAAATAGCAAAAGAATGCAAAAAATAAATTTTATATAAATTATAAATTTATAAATTCGACGGCACACCCCTGGAGAAGTAGCACAAAAGCACGCTTTTTATGGGATACCAACACAACCCATTTCCCATTGGAGTATTGAATTGGTTAAAACATCTTTGGCCCGCGTAACATACCTTTTATCTCAATGTGACGGCGTGGGGTCGTGTAGTGCTCCTCGAAGAGCCGCGACCCATGCTGGTCTCTGTGTACACAGTGGTCACAGCAGTTTCGATTCGAATTATATTTGCAATGCACATTAGTTTATTTGTTTCCACTTTTTTTGCTTCATTGATAAGACTCTACCATAAAATTTATAAATTTATAATTTGTATAAAATTTATCTTTTACTTTCTTTTGCTCTCCCTACAAGAGTGTGCCATCGAATTTATGAATATATAATTTATATAAAATTTATTTTTTGCTTTTTTTGCTGGTGCCAGTGAGATGGAGTTATTTAAGAAAATTTTGTCTTTTGCTTTCTTTTGCTATTTCAACATGGAAGCCGTTTTTTTCATTTATATTCGAACTTGAATTAGGCCTCTATTCAATGTATAGAATTTTCTCCTTTCATCGAGAGAGGAAGAACAACTGTATTTGGGTATACACCAGTTCAAGTCTCGATTGGTCGACTGGGTACCTAGCACTACTGAATATCCAATCAACTGACTTAAAGTTAATTTGATCATCAGTATTTTTGTTCGAATAGACTAAAATTATCTGAATATAATGATACTAATATACTAATAAATATTATGATATCGAACTCATTATTATAGCATCATTATCTGTTCAATCGCTATTTATTATTCAATTATAAAATGATTTTCTATTTATTAATCAAACTCTTTGATTAATAAATAGAAAATCATTTTATAATTGAATAATTACTAGCAACTGAATTAGAGATGCACCAGTAGCAGTATAATGAGTACCATTGATACTAGGTATCACCCAAACAGACAAGATTTTGCAAAAACGCGTTTAAACGTTCGAAATCGTTCTTTTCTGAGCGTTTACGCACGTGTGGAAGAAACTGATCGTGTAAACACCAAGAAATCCAAGTTTTCAACGTGGATTCGCACAATTTTTCTCATCGTATATATTTCGATGTGCAAATGTTCAAATAGTTAGTTTTCTGAGCTTTTCTACACACATTTTCGAGTCTATGATCTTTTTGATTCCACACTGAATTTTGGGAAAAAAAGCACCCGTTTTCACAAAAATCGCGGGTCTTGTGGGTCTTTAGAATTATGACGATCATATAGTGTTCACTATTATTTTTATAGCATGCAGATCTTGAGAGTCTTTAGAAATATGATGATGATATCTATAGTATATAGCCTCTATTTTTATATGGTGCGGGTCTTTAGAATTTTCATTATGATATCAAAATGAAAATTCTAAAGACTCACAAAATCGGCAAGGCCCACACCCTATAAAAATAGGGCGCATATAGTATACATATCATCATCATAATTCTAAAGACCTGCAAGACCCACACCCTATAATAAAGGAGGGCATATACTACAGATATGATCATTATAATTCTAAAGAGCCGTAAGACCCGCACCTTATAAAAAAGAAGTGGTATATACCATACATATTATAATGAATATTCTAAAGACCCAGAAGACCCACAGTGTATAGAAACATGGGGTATATACTATGGATACCATCATCATAATTCTAAAGACCCGGAAGACCCACAGCGTATAGAAACATGGGGTATATACTATGGATACCATCATCATAATTCTAAAGACCCGCGTGTCCCGCATTTCAGATTGAAATCGAGTGTCGTTTTTTCCTTCGACATTCAGATTGAAATCAAAAGAACCATAGTATGTAATTTTCTC